AGGGCGGTGGCGGAGAAGGCGGCGGCGAGGGCGGCGGCGGGGAGGGCGGTGGTGAGGGCGGCGGTGAGGGCGGCGGCGGCGAGGGCGGCGGTGAGGTCGGTGGCGGGGAGGGTGGTGGTGAGGGCGGCGGAGAGGGCGGCGGCGGAGAGGGTGGTGGTGAGGGCGGCGGAGAGGGCGGCGGCGGAGAGGGTGGTGGTGAGGGCGGCGGCGAGGGCGGCGGCGGAGAGGGCGGCGGCGAGGGCGGCGGCGAGGGCGGTGGCGGGGAGGGCGGCGGTGAGGGCGGTGGCGGAGAGGGTGGTGGTGAGGGCGGCGGAGAGGGCGGCGGCGGAGAGGGTGGTGGTGAGGGCGGCGGCGAGGGCGGCGGCCGGGAGGGCGGCGGCGAGGGCGGCAGCGAGGGCGGCGGCGGAGAGGGCGGCGGCGAGGGCGGCGGTGAGGGCGGCGGCGGAGAGGGCGGCGGCGAGGGCGGTGGCGGGGACGGTGGTGGTGAGGGCGGCGGAGAGGGCGGCGGCGGAGAGGGTGGTGGTGAGGGCGGCGGTGAGGGCGGCGGCGGGGAGGGTGGTGGTGAGGGCGGCGGCGAGGGCGGCGGCGGGGAGGGCGGCGGCGAGGGCGGCGGCGAGGGCGGCGGCGGCGAGGGCGGCGGCGATGGCGGTGGCGGGGAGGGTGGTGGTGTGGGCGGCGGCGAGGTCGGCGGCGGAGAGGGCGGCGGCGAGGGCGGCGGCGAGGGCGGCGGCGGGGAGGGCGGCGGCGAGGGCGGCGGTGAGGGCGGCGGCGGAGAGGGCGGCGGTGAGGGCGGTGGCGTGGAAGGTGGTGGTGAGGGCGGCGGAGAGGGCGGCGGCGGAGAGGGTGGTGGTGAGGGCGGCGGTGAGGGCGGCGGCGGAGAGGGCGGCGGGGAGGGCGGCGGCGAGGGCGGTGGCGGGGAGGGCGGCGGCGAGGGCGGCGGTGAGGGCGGCGGCGGTGAGGGCGGCGGCGAGGGCGGTGGCGGAGAAGGTGGTGGTGAGGGCGGCGGAGAGGGCGGCGGCGGAGAGGGTGGTGGTGAGGGCGGCGGTGAGGGCGGCGGCGGGGAGGGTGGTGGTGAGGGCGGCGGCGAGGGCGGCGGCGGGGAGGGCGGCGGCGAGGGCGGCGGCGAGGGCGGTGGCGGGGAGGGCGGCGGGGAGGGCGGTGGCGGGGAGGGTGGTGGTGTGGGCGGCGGCGAGGGCGGCGGCGGAGAGGGCGGCGGCGAGGGCGGCGGTGAGGGCGGCGGCGGAGAGGGCGGCGGCGAGGGCGGTGGCGGGGAAGGTGGTGGTGAGGGCGGCGGAGAGGGCGGCGGCGGAGACGGTGGTGGTGAGGGCGGCGGTGAGGGCGGCGGCGGAGAGGGCGGCGGGGAGGGCGGC